CTAGGTGAGTTGATCTTGGAGCCCTCCTCTAGGATCGAACTTACAATGTTGCGGCAGCAGGACCGGCGTTTAGCCACTGCACCAGCAGCGCTCCCTTGGGTCAACGGTATCTTTCAGCTCCCAATCTGACGGCTGCTTCTTCCACATATACAGAAGGCCAATCTGCACACATGTTTTGCCAATATTGTACACAAATTCTATTTTGCTGTTTTTAAAATATTATATTTATACTATAAATGCTACCTATCCAAGAATAAGCCACAAAAAAATCTTACCCATGCTAATCCTGTTTGCACAGGAGCCTTAAAAACAGGCCTGCACAACATACCACCTGCAGCCCATCCAAGGATTTTGGGTGGCCCGCGAGGACTTAGACTAGAAGGTAAATATAAATTAAGGAGTTGTTTACTTGTTTGTTGTATTGTTCTCTTTTTAATGTATCTTTAAATGATTAATAATGAGCAATAAAAAACATTTAAAAAAAGGAAATCAGTCCTCAGTGCCACACACAGAAGCTGACTTCAACAACACTCTGTGTTACTTGGAGGCCATCCACACTGCAGAAATAATCCAATTTAACAGCCATGGCTCAATGCTACAGAACTCTTGGAACTGCAGTTTGTTGCAGCACCAGTGCTCTCTGACAGAGGCTAAATGTCTCACAAAACTACAAATCCCAGAATTCCATAGCAACTGAGTATAAATACATTATAAGCTGTTTTGAGATCTACTGAAAAGAAAGGCAGAAGCACCGTTGCATCAGGTCAGACTATATGACCATGTATCCCAGTAAGGTCTACTTCACTTTTCCTCAACCTGGTGGCCCCCAGAGGTGTTGGATTAGGACAGGGGTAGGCAACCTTTCCCCTTTAAGGGCCAAGGGACTTCAGCTCCCAGAATCCCAGGAGCTATTGCCCAACATGGGACTATTGGCCAACATGGCTGAGGCTTCTGGGAGCTGAAGTCCCTCGGCCCTTAAAGGGGAAAGGTTGCCTACGCCTGGATTAGGATGTTACAACCCACATACTTCTTGTACGTGTTTACTGTTGTTGCTGTTGCTGTTGTGTGTCAAGTCCTTTCCAACTTATGGAGCCCTTAAGGCA